TATTAGTTAATTCAATTTTCTCAAATAACATCATATGAAGGCAGTATTATTGCCCCCCCCCCCTTTATAGAAACAGAGATACCCATAGGGGAAGTAGCCTGTCCAGGGCCACACAGTTTAGAAATGAAGCCATAGGATTTAAATACATTTAAATCTCAACTCTGCAACTACAGTCTGTCACATGAACCTCTCTTCAGGACTTGTAACCAATTGGGATTGGGGACCTGGAGGAAATTGCCTTATATTTAGATTTCTTATTCAAAAAAGCAAATTGACAACAATTACAGGCTTAGTTCAAGATGAGATGTTATATTCCAGTTTTTCTTATCTCTCTCTGTTTCTTTCCTCTTTTTTATTTCTTCCTTTCTTTTGTGAGGCAGGGTCTCACTCTTTGGCCCAGGTTGACCTGGGACTTAGTACGTAGCCCAGGATGGCCTCAACATCACAGAAATTCTCCTGCCTCAGCCTCCCAAGTGCTATAATTACAGCATGAGCCACCATGCCTGTCTTGTCTTTTGGTTTTGACTTGATTTTGCATTCTATTTAAAGGGTAGATGAAATTGTCAATGTTGTTATTCAGTGTAGCTATAAACCAAGTATAGGTTAATGTCTACAAGCAGTAGCTTTGTAGAAATGCTATGAATTAATACCAGTTTATCCCCTGTTGAGGCTAATTAATTCTTTTTTCCAAGAAATTTGTTCTATTTTGAATGAAATCATTAAACACTGCTGAGTATCTGAAAGTACATATGAATTTTTCACAAGTGTTTCTGCATTCTGCCAGCTTTCAAGTCAATATTTTGAGTGGACAGGGAAGTTTAAACTAACAAGTGCTTGTTTTCACACTGAAGTCTTAGATAGAACTCAGATTCATGAATTCATAATCATTCTTCCCTCATTAAACCTTTGATTCAACTCCGAGTCTGTGTTGTCTAGCACAGTCCATGTACCATGCATCCAATAAATGCTCCTTGAATGATAATGATCAAAATGTTCACTCCTCAACATAATTTATGTCATGTCTCCTACTTAAGACATTTTAAAACAGTACTTTAAATGTCAATTTAAATTGTACAGTTCTGGACTCAGAATCCTCCTGGAGATTTTCTTGTCTAACATTTGATATTCAGAGTTGGGTATAAAGTGAATTTCTTGTATTTGTATTCTTCTTGAAATATATGACAAGTTACAAGGGCTAAAGGGAAATGGGGTGTGCTTTTCCTTTTTCTTTTTTTTTTTGAGAGTTGTGTTTTCATATTTTTCTCCAAACCGAAGGTTATTGAAATGAGAGCAAACTTAATAAATAAGTAAAATATAATATAAAATTTAGACTAGAGTTACCAGAAGGAAAGAGAAGCTCCATGGCTGCAGTTTACAGTTATTTGGTTGAATTTCAAAATCAAATTATTTATTCAAGTGAGAACAAGGCCCACTGGGAGATGTCTAGTCTTAAATTGGTTGCTGATTAGAATTGTAACTAGAGTAATATTTACACTCTTAGCACTTGAGAAATCACTGACTCAATTCTCATCTTCTTTTTCCCCCACTGATGGCTTTGGTACCTGTTCTTCAGGCTGGGCTATAAGCTATGAAGATCGAGGAGAATTGCCCCCCACATCTTCCATCACTTGAGGCTTCTATCTAAACTAGAGCCCACAAAATAAGCAGAAAAAAGCAAAGAATACATAGTCCCCTGATTTATTTTACATGGTACTGTTATTTTTCTGGTTTGAGTTTTTGTATCACAAATTTGTGTCTTTGTCCCATCACTCTACAACTACTAAAGACATATCTTAAGCGTCAATCGAAATCACCCAGCATGTGCTCGGCTCATGTGAAAGTTTTGTGGATCAGTTGGGTAGCTGAGATCCTGCCTTGGTTTTGACATATTTTAAATGTGTGGCTGTGAATTAAATGTATAATTTTTCTGAACTATTTACCTCAGTTCCAAAATGCAGGGGTTAGCTAATAGATGATCTTTTGTTTTAAGAACAGAAAAAAAAGATGGATATTAGTATGATTAAGTGAATAAATGATAATTCAACAAACTGAGTTGGCATTCTGACTTCAGTTATGCCAATAACTTTGGAAGCAGGCTCTTGGTCAGTGCCAAGCTTGGGGTCACTCCCCACATCCCATACCTTGTGAAAGTTCCCTCCAGTCTATTGCTTGGAACAGTTCCCAGGGCATGCTGATCTGCCACCTCCCCAGTACCTCCTAGTTGTCTTCAAGTACTGTTCTCTTTTGCTTTCCATCACTCATGGGTCAGGGTATTTCATCTTAAATTTCCTATGAATACATATTTTTATTTATTTTCTTAGATAGTCTTTTACTTTCTCCCTTTACTACCTAAAAAAACCCTACTGAAACATTTTTATATTTCACTTGTGAAGAACAAAGTTGCAGTGTTGTCTAAAAAAACATGAATAAAAATAATGATTCCTTTTATGAAGAAGAAAACCTGAAACTTTTAAGGTTACTTTAAACATATTAAGAACTAGTGACACTGGTCTCTAGAGTCCTATAAAGTGACTATTGGTTCTATTAAGAACTTCTGCAATTTCACAGTTTTTAAACATTTAAACCTATTAATCTGTTATCATGGGCAGTCAAAATACACATGGAATTTATAATATTTAATTTTCCTGTTTTCAGTAATTAGCATGGCAAAAAAAATGTGTGTAGCATACTAAAAACCTACCAGCAAAGATAGCAAAGAGGAGGGAATGTATAACTACTTGGAAGATGGGAGCAGGCATGCTTAAACTGGATTTTGTAGTTTGAATAGAACATTCTCATTTGGTTCAACCAAAGGAAGGTGTTTCAAGCATAAGGCAAGGCTTGGAGGGAAGCATCACTTGATGCACAATGAGTTAACAATATTGTCAAAGTATAAATTGTCTGAGGGTGAAATGTGGTGAGAAGGGAGAGAGAGAGAGAGAGAGAGAGAGAGAGATATCTTCATTGTGTGCTTTGTTTGGTTGATGCTTTCTATAAGGCCCCTTCACCCCCCATAAATAACTGAAAGCAACTTTAGCTACCATTGCTGTGCTCTGATGGTGAAATGGTACCTTTGAACAGCACCTGATGCTAGCAGGAAAGGCAAAGGCAGTGCCAGAGACAGGGTGAGCCTGGAAGAAGCAGTAGGCAATGTGTAAGGTGAAGCAGCCCAGTTTATCACTTTGACCCTTTGCTGATATATGAGAGGGTTTGGTGCCCACATCAGAGAGCATGAGGTCTTTCTTTCCCTGCGAATGGCAGAGCAGGAAGGCAGATGAGGCAGACCAGCATCCCAAGGGGAGATGTTGAAATAGACTCTGCCTCAGTGCAGGCAAGGTGACCAGGTCCTGGATGGGTGCAGCATTCTCTCCAGGTGGCAGCTCTGACACTTAACATGGCAAAGGAGGAAAGGTAGGGAGGCGTGAAGAGACTCAACTATCTCTCCATTTAAACACCTTGAAAAGTGCAGCCTTTTAAGTACTGAAAGTTACAGGGCTCTGATGGCTCCGAGTGGTAGCACTTCTTCAGGAGTTAGAACCAGCTCATGTGGGATACACATAATAATATGCACCTTTCCCCGTAGACTAGTATACAATGTGTTAAGAAGTGTTGTGAAACGGTGTCATTTGAAATACAATTTTTAATCACCTCATTTAATGAAATAAACCCAAGGTGGTAACAGTCAAAACGCCACAGTTGAATTTTCTGTCCAGGTGGCTTTTTCCATTTTTCTTGTCCTACTCATATGAAATATGGAATGGCTCTCACATTACCTCATTTCTTTTGACCAAGACCCATTTCCGTGAGCTTCCATCTTCCCAATGCCACATAAACCTCAGGCTGATGGCTTTCCTTCTTTTTTCTAAGTGCTCAAATGCACATTGTTTACTACAGACCAACATTGGTTTTTCTTCTTCCTTTCAGATTTTTTTTTTTTTGCCCAGAGTATTACTTTTTAATAATATTCTTTATAAATGATTAGGCATCTTAGCATTAAAATCTTTCTACCACAAGTTATTAAAAACAAAACTAGGGGAGTTTTTCTTCTCAGTCTCTTTCCATGAGAAAGAAGGAGGGAATTTTTGGTCTCTTTTCCATCTGTCCCATCTCTCACCGCCAATGGTACATCAGGATTCCACTGCACAAGGATCGCCAAGATTTAAAAGGCATAAACACACTTATATTCTTTCTTCTCAAGTTACCCTGCTGCTTTGCAAATGTTTAGCAACATATTCCCTAAGGAAAGGAGCACCCAGCCATCAGTTGTGGCATTTGTAGTTTACAGAGTCCCAAGAGCGTCTTTGTGCTCCTGTCCTACTGTTAGAAATGCAGGAAAGGTTCAACTGACTGTCCTAAACACAGCACATTCTTATGACATGACAGAGCCCCTGTGATTCATCATCTCCACGTATGTGGGTGAGCTGAGTTTTCTTCATATCAGTACGGGTGTTTGTATTATTGTCACTTGCTAAAGGGGAAACCGAGGCAGGAGGGTTTATTAACTTGCCCAGGATTTATGAAGCATGCAGACCACACTCAGTTTTTGGACTACATACTATATAGTTCCTTGGTTAAAAACTGGAACATGAATTTATACTTTACATAAAGAACTACAAAAAGCAACTCAAAATGCTCTGTTGGACACATCAAGAAATGTTAGAGGCAGGACTGACATTAAAGAGATTCCAATTTCACCCTCTCCCCTTGGGGTCTGAAACTCAGGAAATCTGACCTGTTAAAGTCCACCGGGCAAGCTTGCAGCAGGCTGAGCCTCACCCCAGGTTTGTTGATTTCCACTGCACTGGCCCTCCTTCATCTACCCCTCTTAAATTTAAGATGCATTTCTATAAAATGCAAACATTTGTAAGTCGCAGCCCTTGAATCCTGTTCGCACAACTCGCCTTCCTTTTCCCAATTTTTATGGTTCGGACTCTGCATGGAGGACACCCAGAGTGATCAGACTTGCCCGGTTTACCTTCTGTATCCCACCGTCAGTTTACCTGGGAAACTGTGGAGAGCATCTTCGTTTTCCAGAATGCTTCTCTGTTTGGTTGCCTGCAGCTCACTTTTGGACTTCCAAACCAGCTTTACCATCCTGATCATCTCTGGCAAGTCCCAGGGTAGCGGCCCCTGCTGGCACCCCGGCCTGCTGCCGAGGGAGGAGGGCAGCACACCTTCTGGGGCCGTCCACCTCCTGCCTAGCTCTGCGGAGTGGAAGTACCGCTCTAGCACAGGCATTCTGCCCTGTTTCCCAGAAGAGGAGGTAGGGCCGCCGACGCCGCCGCCGCCGCCGCCGCCGCTGCTGCTCCTGCTGCTCCTGCTGCTGCGGCTGCTGCCACCAGAGGGGAATTTCTTCCCGGGCAGCGGCAGGCGAACCCCAGTGAAATCCTCTCCAGCCTTGGAAAGACAAGCTTCCTCCAGCCTGGCACAGCCTCCCTGGCTCTCCTAGTCCCTGCACAAAACACTGGTGACTAGACCAACCGATGCACTTCCTAAGGTCTCACACTGCTGAGAAACTGTCACTGAGCGCCTTCCTTAGAGATAGACTGCATTTTTCCCGTTGTCTCTCAGGCACCGAGTTCACAGCACTTAATTAATCCCAGGCTACAGCTGGAACGACAGCAGGGAGGAAAAAAACTCATTGAGGTTTCAGCCTCTGCCTTTCCTCTTCCTCCTGATCTGTTTGTTTTCAGTGAGTTTTGCTGCTTGTCAAAGTTTGTCAAGTGGCTTAGCCATGAAAGACTTCAGGCAAAGAATTGGGACTCCGCTTTGCCTGACTCTCCAAGGGACACTCTAGAGGCCAGTTATCTTTGTCAGGTGAAGGGTCAGCCCCTGTCTGTGCGGGGAGCCTAGAAGCTTCCCAGACTCTGGCAGAACCAGAAGCTGCAGTTTCCCTCTGGAAGGCCTGGTGGGGGGCCAGCTTGTCCATCCATCGTGTGCCCACACGGGGATGGGGTTGGATTGATCCTGAGGACCACAGATCAGTCTCCTTACTTCTCCACACTGCACCCCCTTGCTGTTAAAGTTCTCAGCAAAGTCACCAGGTTTTGGCCTATTAGTCAAATCCCTTTGTAACGGCAGCTTACAGCTGGGAGGGAAATAACATCGAATTACATTCCAAAGCCAACTGGAAAGAAGTGGATTAGGGAAGTGTCAAGGCCCCTATGCATATGTGCAGTGTGTTTGTGTAGCCTGGACACATGGCTCAGGAAGTTTAAAAATCCATTTTCAAAGGGTACTCATCTTTTCAAAGGGTAGGGGGTCATAAATGACAGCGAGGAGAGAGAAAGTGTGGAAGATTAATTTTTCAGAGAGAGCGCACTGTGGGCTTAATATCTGGGCCACTAACTACTGTGTCACCACAGAGAGTGGTGAATTGAGGACAACTGTGGGCCAGGCCTCTTGTTTCCTGAGGCTCAAAGATGAAGGCGCTGACCCTGGAAGTCAGAACCAACACAGCAACAGAGATGCCCCCTGTCGCTTATGTGAAAGGCCCGGGACATAAATGAAAGTGGGGTGGTATTATGCTTGGCATTTTTGCCAGCAAATTGGGTTTGTAGGAACAATTTGAACTTTCACAGACACATAGAAAGCCCCTGTTTTCTTGAAAGATATTGTAACAATCCCATCTTCTTCTGCTCTTCATGTCTCTGCCTTGCAAGGGCCTTTGTTTTGCTTGGCGCTTTATTTTGCTGATGTGCAAGCTGTTGCTTCTGCTCTACATTCCTGAAGGGGCTGGTTGATCACACAATCATTTGATGTTTCTTTAGGGGAGCACGGAGGAGATTTTGGGGAAGGGAGAAGGATCATCACAGAGTGCTTTATTTTCATAGTTCTGCTCCCACATCTTTTTTGTTTTTGAAGTTGAAAGCAGCAAAACTTACTGTAATTTTGTTGTTATTAGTATTCTTCTAAAACCATGGTTAATAAGACTGGTTTTCCAGACTGAATTAAGTGATCTTCCCCCTCTTTTTTCTAGATGAAAAAGTACACTGGCAACCTACTTTTTTCCCTAATAGGTGAAAAGAGATCAAAACCCTTTTAGGGTTGAAAAAACAGCAGCAAAAAACATTAGTGACACTACTTTTTTATATGTGGATGTCATTTAGTACAGCATTGTAGGTTTTCTATAATAACCACATATTCATATAACCCAGTGAGGGAAAAACCAGTGATCTACTTTATTGGAAGGATGCGTTCTTCTTTAACTCCCTCTGTTAAGAGATGAGAGGATTTATACATCTATTCCTGCCTTGTTTGACAGCCCTTCCAGTTCTTATCCCACCTTTCCAGGAGACTGGGAGTGTCAAGCATCTAGAATTGAGAGAACTGTACACAACAAACACAGGTAGGCTGCTGTACTCTATTACCATATTTCCTGAATAATGTCTTAAACTCACCCTTCGGCCACAAACTTCCTTGACATAGCAACTGAAGGGTTTCCTAAGTGTTTGACTATTTTTATTTTTGCTCAGTTATTTTGCAATAGTACTAAGCATCAGGATATCCTGACCCTTGGAACAAAGGGGTTAAGAACAAAGAAAACAAATATATGATATGATATATCATAGGCAACAATGAATTAAGAACATAATTCTTCATTGTATAATTCTTCAAGAACAACTTCTTTTTAAAATACAAGAATATAAATTCTCACTGTGTCTTCTATGCTCTTTGACAGATTTGTAAAAATGTCCCAGAGAAGTTACAGAATGTTGGATCACTGGACTTGAATATTTCCTATAAGAGATGAGTTAGAAGCCAAACAAATATCATTTCAATTTTCACCCCTGAGGAGGAGTCTACTTCATTTGAAGGTCTGAAAGTTGAAAATGTTTTCACAATTTAAATTTTTCCCCCAACATGGGATTATCTCCATCTCAGAGTAGAAGTGCAAAAATACCACAAGAAAGGTTGTTCTTATGGTATTTCTGGCTCACATAGAAACAGGAAGTACAGGAAATCTTGCGAGAAAGCTTGGCTCAGGAAATTTTTGGCTCAAAAGCAGCCCAGGAGATCAGGACAACATGATGAGGTGCAAGTTCTTACAGAACTGAAAACTTTCAACCACACGATTTCCCTGAAAGGTGGTTTTGTCACATTTTGGAGCTAGCATCTCAGGCTGAGATCTCTCTGCTTTCTAACAGTTACCTTAGAAGAGCATACCTATAAAGCTATAATTTCCTTTGTGCCGTGAACGTTATTCACCCTGAGATATTATCTGCAGCTGGTGCCAGGCATGGGAAAACAGATGGAGGGTATTCTGTACTCTTAGGAGTTGCAGAGCAAAGTCTCATCAATTTGAGAATTCTCACAAATGTTATTATCAGTAATTAATGTGCTACAGACAGGGAATTTTGATTTGAGATAGACTTTCAAAATAAGCAGGTCCCTTTTTTCAAGTTGTGAGTCAATCTAATTTTCTAGTAAAAGAAAAATAGAATTCTCTTCTTGTGTGAAAGGAGTGTAATGTGAACTTTTAAAGTCAAAAGTTTGTTCCAGGGCTGGGGAGATGGCTCAGTGGGTAAAGTACTTGGTGTTCAAGCACAAGGACCCGAGTTTGGATCCTTAGTTCCCTTGTAAAAGCTGATGTGGAAGCATGCATCTGTAACCCCAGTACTAGGGGCAGAGGCAGGTAGATCCAGAGGGTTCCTTAGCCAAGCAGTTGAGCTCAAAGGGTGAGTTCCAGGTTTAGTGAGAAACCCTGTCTCCAAAATTAATGTGGAGAGGAATAGAGGAAGACAACTGACTTAAACCTCTGGTCTCACAGGCAACTACACACACATGTGCACACACAGACATACACGAAATACACATAGAGACAGAAAAAAGAAAACAGTTTGTTTCAGTGGAAATCTCAGTTAAAAAAAAAACCCCAACCTTTGCTGTGTAGTTTCTGCAATAAAGGAAAGAAATTGATAACTTCAATATTAACTTAATAAAACTATTAAATACATGGTGAAGTGTACAGGCACACAATTGATTTAATCCTTGAATTATTTTGAAGGATTTTGGAGTTCCGAGGGTTAGAAAAAATATTGTATTTTATATATTTGTATTTATATATTTGTATTTAGTATACTATATATATTATAGAGCAGACTGTGGCTGCTCTATGTGCATTCTTATATCTATTATATAGGATTGTAAAAAAATGAAGCATTAGCCAGGTTAAAAATTTCTAATACTCTAGATGAGATATCTGTTTTATTTTCTTTTTTTTGGTCTTTTTGAGACAGGGTTTCCCTGTAGCCCCAGCTGACCTGGAACTTACTATGTAGACCAGGCTGGCCTCAAACTCACAGAGATCCGCCTGCCTCTGCCTCCCAAGTGCTGGGATTAAAGGCGTGAGCCACCATGCCCAGCCCTAGAGGAGATATATTTAACAAGAAAATTTAAATCTCTGTATCGCCATTTTATTTTCCATTAAACCTATTAGTAGAGTCTCACTAAACTTCATTTTAAAGATAATCTCAACTCATTTTATTTTGAAAGAAATATTTGCTGTATTGGCCCTTACCATACATTATTCTTCTGTTTGAGGGATTTTGACTTTGTTTTGTTCTGAATATTTTTCTTCATCAATTCAGTTCAATATGAATGTTTAAAACCCTTCCACACTACACTTATGGCCACCCTGGTTTCACAATTGTGATTCAAATGCAATCCAGAATGAGCAAGGAAGGAAAAACAGGTCTTTTAAGTTTGTTTAATATAGGCTAAGTAGAAGAAGCTCAAACAATTTACAGTGTCCTTCAGGAGAAATAGAAATGTAATAGCTTTGGCCTTAGCTAATCTCAAGGAACAATGCCAATAAGTAAGGAAAAGAGTTCCCACCATACAAGGCAGCGTGTATTTCCATCACATGGGCAGGGAGGAGGGTGGGGCAAGACTAGGAAAGATGCGGTGGGGGAAGTAGAAGGGGTTCAGTTGACAGGGTGATAGCTTAATTTTATAACAGGTATCTAAGCTATAGCCAATCATCTTTTCCTCACTCTGCAAATACCTATTAAGAAGGGAGAACCTTCTGTGCTGACGCCTGGGTCCTTTTTCAAGACTGGAAGCTGCCAGGCTTTCCTGCTTAGATCCTGGTTTTTAGTGTATACCTAGACAGGGACATCAAGATCTAGTAGTTACTTGGCAGCCTTCTCGCTTGGCTTTTAGATAACTTAATTAACGCTGTTTACTGTCTCAGACAGTTTTCTAATAGCAAGTGAACCTAATAGCCCAACGGCGGAGGTCAAAGCGGCTGATGGCTTTATTCTCTTCCATGGCTCTTCCCTGCTGCTGAACTTGGCTTTGTGCTTTCTTCTTTTACCAAACGTCTGATGCTCTGGTCTGAGACTCTGGCCTCCTATGATTATAATCTTTTGGGGATTTTCTGATTGTGAAAGAACATAAATGGCAGGAGAAGATATTTGTCATAGTTTTATATTTGAGTTTCTATTGAAGAAAAAACAAGTACAACAATTAAATCTCTAAAGTAACCCTCC